AAAATATCGTGTTAAGAGAGATTTTGGAATTTCACGACGGACCTATTAATAAGCATTTTTTTTTAAGAAACAAAACATTCTTATTAAATTTGTAACTATGAACATTGTGAAGACTTCGTTTTGGAACGCTTACCACCAATTTACAACCTGAATAACTTCTTATGCTTATCGTTCAAGTAAGAAATGCAATTATATTATACTAACAACAAATCGAAACTATCCACTATTTCAATGTTAATATATTTGTGAAAACATTTACCGGAAGAAATTTTTCCATTACGTAACTGTCAAACAGCAGGAGATCATATTTCTTATAAGTAACCATTTATTACACCAGTTAACATGAATGTTTTTCAGAATAGGCGAGAAATTACTCGTACCAATATGTACTTCATCTATTTCGCTTTCTTCTTCCTCCAACTAAGCAGCATTCAAACTACGGTAAGTTCATTTGAAGTTAAAAATACAACGCAATGCTATAGTATTTCGAAAATTTCAAATTTTCGACACAGTATGAGATTGATAATTTCATATAATTTGAGGAGACGCAAACGGAACAAACAGAGCCGTTGGATTCATCACTGCAAAAATTGAGTAGAGAACAAGCGCCAGATTTGTGCTTATTAGCCGAGGTAGCCGCTAAAATATATACAGATGAATTTGAAGATCAAGATTTAATAGTGAAAGAAGTGGGTGCTGAAAGAAAAAGAAAAAGTACGGAAGAAATCCCAGGGAAGGAACTGAAAAGGAATAAACCGCAGTGTGCTCCATGGCAAAATGAAGTAGCAAGTAAGGAAGATGTGGAAGCTAATACCAGTAAGAAGCTTCACATTTGTCCGACATGCAACAAAACCTTCTCTTATCCATCAAAGATGATAGTTCATATGAGATCTCATACTGGTGAGAAGCCGTACGATTGTCTCACATGCAACAAAAGCTTCCCCCATTCATCAACTTTGAACGACCATATGAGAATTCATAGCGGTGAGAAGCCGTACGTTTGCTGTATATGCAACAGCAGCTTCGTTCAATCATCGAATTGGAAGACACATATGAGAACTCATACTGGTGAGAAGCCGTACGTTTGTCCGATATGCGGCAGGAGTTTCTCTCAATCATCAAGTGGGAAGAGACATATGAAAACTCATACAGGTAAGTCTTAAAATTATCCGTTATGCGAGAAAAGTCAATAAAAGGAGCGATATTTGAAAAAACACATAACAACTCACAACAAAAATAGGCCGCTCTTCAACTGTACTGTCTGTGGTAATGGCTTCCTAAACCTTAAATCTTCTTTGAAATCACACAAGAAAACTTATGAAAGTGGCTGAAATGCGCATTTTATGCTGAAATAGCATTGTTTTGTTGATTATAAGTTATGTTTCTGTACTCAGTCCTTATTTTAATGATAAAAAAAGTTATTTTATTGATATTTTTATCTCATATGCATAAGATCCTTATCTTAATGATAACATTCTATTACTGTTATTATTTATCGATTGTTTATACGTTATTCATTTTTTTATCACATATGCATAATAGTATCGTTCTCTTTCCATCCTTTTGCTGTTTCTTTCATTTTAGTGAATAAAATTATCAGTTTTGTATTTCCTTGCAGATCTGCTAAATTACTTTTTCGTTATTTGCGCACACATAATAAGTAACTGGCATGCTATATGCAAATAAACATGACTGTTAGTTGTGGTCTCATGTCATTTCATAAGATCACCCGTTATCAATCCCTATCCTATGTTCCATCGACGATAAGCACTTCATTTGAGCTATTTAAAGCAACGTTTCATTTAGTTGGGATATTTGATAATCCAATCCAGCTACTAAATTATATCAATTCAATGAAAGCAAACTATGCGAATTGTTTTGTCCAATTAAGTAACATTCAAACTGCAATAAGTTTATTTAATGTTTACGAAAAAGATTCTTACCTGGAGGAAAAGTTCCACCCGAAAGTTAGTTTTTAGTATCTTAAATAAAATAAAGGAACTGTCAACATGCCAACTTATGATGATTAAATATGATAATTAAATACAACGATTAGCTTGTGATAACTAAATGAGATGGTTGAATATATTTATTAGCTTATAATGATTAGAAATGATAATTAAATACAGTGATTGGTCCACACTTAATCATTATGAGCCAATGATCAGCTCATGATGATTAAATTGAAAGATTGATAATTAAGTGCACTTAATTGATTAGTTTAACAAGTAAATTTTAAAAAACAAAATATAATCTATTTAGAACTTCCACATGCGGATTTTCAATAGCTTTAGCACACATTACAGAACGGTAATCATTATACGGTAGATTTGTCGGTATATTTACTCTAGCAAATGTTGTTGAAAATAGCCAAGGATTAACTTGAATAAGTTCATTTGCTTCAAATCCGAAATATTCGAAATTTTTGTCAAAAATTCCCTATTCCATACATCCATTATATTTCTTTCAAATATTTGTTCGGTTGATATTTCTGTAAAAAAAAATAAAACAAAAAAAAATGAAAATTATTTTTTCCTAAATTTGAAAATGGAAAACATTTCATGAATGAGAAATTTTGATTTGAAAAAGAAGAAGAAATAGAAAGCTAATTTATTCACTTAACCATGTTTTGGTTTGAAATTGCTTTTGCAGAAATTTTATATTTGCTTTGTGGTGGAATTCAATAGGAATCGGTGCAATTTATTGCAATTGTTACATAACCCGAAAAACAAATTGAGCTAAAATTTGTTGTTTATAATTATTTGAAAAATTTTCCCAAAATATCCTTACAAAATTCATAGCCAAATAAACCTTCATCAAAAAATAATCATGATAATGATTTGTAATGGTTGAGTGATGATTGATAGATAACAATTGGATTTTTTTTACAAAAACTGATATTTAACGAAATGCAGTCAAAAAAAAGCACAAGATGGTTTCCTCATTTTTTTCCGGAGACTTTAAGCAATTTCAGCAATGTTTCTGAAATTGTCAGTTTAAATAAATTTCAATTTTCAACAAATTTTCGGGGATTTGCAACAAATTTCATGGTTGGAAGTAAATTACAATTATTTTTAGGAGATAAATGTTTTAATTAAACTTACAATTAGATTAAATTTCATCGTAAAATAATTATAATAATGATTACTCTGTGATAAGCACTGGTAGATGAAGATTTCATCATCATCATTAACTTCAATGATCAGTTAAATGGACAGGTGATAGTGAACCTACAAAAATGAGTTAGAATTACTTGTTGCTTTCAAATTATGAGAATAATAAATTCGGAAAACTTTTATTAACCTTATTGAAATTAAACAAAATAGAAGGAATGGTTGTTTGTATTAATGAAAGTTGCATTTAAATATTTTCAGGTGTTATCGTTTATGCAAGTAATTTGATTATTTTTCAATGGAAGGAAAAAAAAAAGATATTCCTCAATAAATGTGTCATATTATTGTCATAAAATTTCTTTGCGGTACTTTGAAATGGACAAATGATTCAATTATGTATTCAATTACCAATTATGTAAAACGGATGAAATCAAATTTGGAAAAAAAAAACAGAAAACATGCGTCAAAACAAAAAAAAAAAGCATACATCGGAAAAAAAAAACTAATTGATCCTTCATGCAAATAATGCAAATAATTTGATCATTTTTCAATAGAAGAGGAAAAAAGGGCATACATATCATATTATTTGCGGCCCTTTAAATGAATGAATGATTCAATTACGCCGATTAGGTAAAAGAGAAGAAATCAAATTTGGAGGCAAAAAAACATACATCAGAAAAAAAAAAATTAATTGATTTTGAATGGATACAGAACGTATTAAATGATGTTGAATGATTGCGTTAAACGGATGCGGAACGCATTAAATGACTGACGTTGAACGGATATGGAACGTATTAAATGATAGTGAATAGTTACGGAACATATCGAATACTAATGAGGATAACTTATCTTCGCAATTGAATGCTTTAATTCAGTCCAATACATGGTATTTTATAACTGATTAAATATTATCTAAAATCATGAAATACATTTTTTTATCCACGAATTTAATTTAATTTAATTTGTTACTGATTTTGGAATTACAATTTCAAAATGTTTCACAAATCAAAAATTTCGTAGCGTTTTTGAAATGTTCCGGAGCAAAATTATAATTTTAAAATTTTCAAATTATAATTTTAATCCACTATACATATTTTAAAATAATGTTGGTTTTATTTCCTTTTTTTTATTTTTGTACATTTTATATTATATTGAACAGCTATTTTTTTGGGACTATTTACATCTATTATTTGCATATCCGAATTTCTCTTAAATTCCTTTGCTTTATACTTATATATTTCGCAATTAATTGACCGTCAACTAATTAACACATTCTTATTGTACATTCATGTTGTCGCCAAAAATTTGACATAGCTTTTTGCAAATTATTGTTTTTATTTCAATGCTTGTTTTCGATTTAATTTCGTTTCAGTGTTTGAAATTTTTACTTTATTATATTTACCCATTTCCATATTTTTATTGTAACATTATGTGATGTATTTGTCAAATATTCTGAAAAATATTTCAACAAATGACAATTCCATCATTTCCATTATTTTTTTAATATTATTTTTTGTAAATAAATAATGAAGACTTGTTGTTGCAATTGCTAACATTAACATTTAGATATCCATTCCTAACGAGTTCAAATCTTTTCGCAAATTGACATCTGAAATTAAAATGAAATGAAATGACTTCCGATATCACAGTGTCCCATTTCATTTTTTCCAATCAAATTTTCATTTTAAATTGCATATTTCAAATATCCTGAATTCCTTCCCTTCATAATGAATTTTTATTTCTTTTAAAACATTTTTGAAAATCTCGAAACCATCCATCAATTATTTGTATCTCTTCATGTCGATGTACGCATGTTTGTTAACTGTTTGAAATTGAAATAAGTAGGAATGTCTGTTTCGATCCGATCCAATCCGAAAATCCCTTTTCACCTTTTTATTCCATGTTGTACGTGTGCCCGTAGATGTTTTTTTAGAAAGAATTCTTTCGTATTAATCGCCGAATCGTTTCGTTTTATCATTACCTTTCAATAATTCCAATTGGTAAGGCCTTAATTAGGCGAAGAAATAACGGCAAATATATGAATATAATATTATTAATATAATGTCGTTTAAACAGATTAAATCGATTCGCTTTTTGATAAAAGTGATGAGTCAAAAATGCCAATTCATTTAAATAATTTTTATTAGAATTTAAATCAAGATGTAAATTCACACTTGCAACAATTTACATATTTTCAGCAACCTAGCTATTATAAAAATGTCACAGTTCTCACTATCACTTTTAAGGATGTCATCTAGGAAATTTAAACAACCCTTTATTTGAATCAAATCTTTACTTAAATTATTTCAAATTTCGATTACTTGAAATTAAAAAAACCAGGTGATACTTATGCAATCCTATTTCGTTTTGGTAGATTTTATTACTATTAGGGATAAAAAGAACCAGAAATTTCTGAACCCTAATTCAAATGACTATCAAAGTTCTCAAAGTTGATCGCCTTGCGTTCATAAGCATTAAAAATTTAAAATTTTAATAAAACATACAATGTTATCAATGATTAACATTGCATGTTTTATCGTTATCAACAATGTTATCAATGAGATCAGATTTTTGGGATAACTTCAAGATAAAGTAGCTACTTAATTTATCAATTTCATTACAACAATAGAAGAGATGAATTTGCAGTAATTAAAGAATTTTGTTCGTTGATAATTGATTTGATGGAAAGAACGATATAAAAAAAGAAACAACTCACTGTTAATAATAAATAATGTATAAAAAATCACAAAGATCAGTAAACATGAAGAAAATGGAAATAAAATTATTGGAATTTCATATTTGAAATAGTTTTCTTTCGTTTTCTTTTATTTCCTTTTTTTCGCTCTACCTCTGCGATTGCTTTGTGCTATTAATTCAATAACTCTCAAAAATTTCTGAAGAAATGATGAAATCAAAAACTAAATGAAAATATACAAAAAATTTTAAGAACAATGAAATGAAAAGACAATCTTCAAATCATTAATTCCTTCTTAATCATGAAACTAAGGTACTATATCTATACTTCGAGTTGTTTAAGAAATATTCCATTCTTTTATCAGATTTGAAATGTTTTTAACAAATTTTTATTTGCGAAAACTTCTTCTAACCATTTTTTTTTTTTGTTTCAAATTCATTATAATTCCGACCTGCTTAAAAATCAAACGTAGCTTACATCACTGTCATCATCAGTAAAATAGTTTACTGAATACTGCAACCTCCGAATATAATTATGATCATTTAACGTTGTTGGACTTCCAACCTAAAAAAAATTCCGTTAAAATTTAAAAATGTATATTTCAAAAAACTGTAACTACATTTTACAAATGAGCTGGTCATAAATTTGATAAATTTGTAAATAAAAAACAACTGTAAAAATTTCCAATATGAAATAAGCAAGTATTGATAAAATTGAAATATTGTTAAAATCTGACTGTTACTAATTTATTCTAGTACTGCTAAAGTTTAAAATTTGAGATCAATTTTAAAACATTCGGCAGATTTTTTTGAACTATCCATTACATTGTATATTAATTAGAAACTTATGTGCTCCATATCCGAAAAGCTTATTTCCGATTAATTAAAATTGAAATTGCAATAATTTTTGTTCGGCAAAATCTTTAGATCTACCATTGCTTTAAATTAACAGTATTTGCTTATTATTTAATTCATCATTAGACACTTGGACTGAATAATTTTAATTTATGTACCAATTTTGGATTCCGATAAAAGACGTGTTTCATTTTTTCCGCCGATGTCACAAATGTTGTCTTCAGACGATGCTCGATGAAACGATTGGAATTTCTCATTGTAGGCGATCTTATTTCCGAATTCGTATTATGATTCCGATTATAATCTGTATCCACGAAGTCTGTTTCATTGTCATCAGTTTCATGTCGTGATGATAACAAACTGATATGCTTTGTTGCAAGCAAAATTTTCGAGATTTTCTTAGGTTTTATATTTTTCAATCGTTCATGGCGATATTTTTGGGACATTTGTTCCCCATTACTAGAAGTTAATGTCTAAAAACAAACTAAATGACAAAGATATGTTCAAATAATTATTGTGGCACTAATTAATACTTCGGCAAACGTCTTATTATTTGTCCAGCACTCACTTTTCAAATATTCTTACAACTTTCTATGTTCAGAGATTTTGCCACCGAAAAATTGAAAGTTGCCAAAATGTCCCTTGTAAAATTTAAACGGACGAAAAATTATTCGTCTCTCTCTTTCTATTTTGCTTGACTAAAAAATTTTCTCAGATTGAAAATTCACCAAAGATCGAGAAACTTTGGACAATTGCTGCGGCAATGTTTGTTTTGGAATGCTTTCCGTTTGTTTCAACCTAAAAAAAATTTCTCTAATTAATTTTTATCCTCTAACATTTTATCTTTTCCAAACAAATGCAAATTAATTGAACTATAGAAGTAATAAATAAATGGAAAATATTATAACGATAGAAAATACAAACCTATTATTACCATTGGTAAGCCTTAAGAATGGCAATGACATTTCCTTTTGTGATAACAAATTGTCATACTGATTTTTGGCAAAATGTTGTTGTGTGTGCATTGTTGGATGAAGCGTTGTAGTATGTACGAACAATTCAGCATCGAAATACCGTAAATCCGCTAAAATTTCATTATTAAACCAAAATTTATTGAATTAAAATTAAAATAATAAGAGCTTAAAGCGAATTTGAAATTCTCTAACTGCAATTTTAATCACTAAAAATTCCTTCAATTTTCATATTTTCGTATTACTGGATAGAATAACAAGATCAAAATTACACTTATACTTTTGAACTTAATTCTTTTTTATTGTATAATTTGAAAAAAAATGAGATTCGTTTGAAATCTATGAATTCCTTGAAAAATGAATAAATGCTTTACATGCAACTGAATTCTTTTAAATTTTAATACTAACAATTATATCCAAACGCAAAAAATAAACCTTACCAATATTCGATTCGCACAATTGTTGCCTGAAGAAAAATTCTCGCTCAATTAAAAGTTCAATAGATGGAAAATTTTAATTATTACTAATTGCTGCTGAATTATTTTTATACATTTATGGGTAATATTTTTATTGCACTTGAAATGATTGTAATTTGATAAATATTTTAGCAACATAGCAAAGACATGTAATGAATGTTTGCAAATCAATTTTTTCTTGGATATAAAAAAGTCCAATCCATTCGAAAATTATTAAGCAAATCTATATTTGAATTCCAACAATTTGTATTACATTATGATATTATACGAATACATATGCTAATATTTTTAGCACAAATACATATTATTGACTAATGTAAATTTCTAAATTCTGTAAATTATTAACAAAATTTACACTGATGAAGGAAGTTTTAAATTTAAATTCCAACATTACCTAATATCATATTGCCATCGTTTGTAGCGATATTCAGCATCATCAAATGATAATGATAATGGTAAATAATATCGTTTCGGTTTTGATGGTACTACTGATAGTGTCATTACTTACATTTAATGCCATATATTATATCTGTAAAATTTCACATTGGAATACAATTTATTAAATTAAAAGTAAACCAATTTCACTGCAACAATCCATTGGAAGATATTCTGGGAAAAAATTGTGATAAATTCGAAACAATTCAAAAAGTGAAATTTCGTTAAAAATTTTCACTAGTGACAGGCGTAAAAAAGAGAGAGAGAGAGGGAGGACGAAAGGAAGATAGATTTACTAAAATTGAAAAGTGGATATTCTCCCTAACTTTCCGGACTAATTATTGATACCAAATTTCAAAAGCTTTCAATAATGCATTTTATGGTGACACACACACACATAAACCGAGGCAATTATGTTTGTTTAATTTAATTTCAATCCTTTCGCAACTATTTCGATGCTAACTTCTTTTTTTCTATAATCGATATTACCACTTCAACTTGTTAAATATAATGTAATAATTAGAATAAGCAAAGCAATGGCACATAATAGTAATGATAATAATAATAAATAATTAGCATAATGCTCTCTCTCTCTCTCTCCCTCTCATCAATAAATTTTTTTCTCTCTCTCCCTCTCTCTTTCTCTCATTCATGTTGCCGTATGTTACTAATAGATAACATCAACTAAATCAACAGATGTGTGAGTAACAAAATGCTGAGGATTCCCTTTCTGACCAGCATCGTTTCCTGTAAACGAAACAAAAGGTCATGAGTAAGTGCGAAAATTCAATTTAATACAAAGGATCGTGTCTAGGAGATAATGTACAAGTAATGTTACCACCACAAGTGTATTAAACACAGAGATGAATGTTACAGCAGATGACATTATATGGTCACAAGAAAGCATAGGGCAAATAGGGCAAACATAAAAAAAAAAATATAAAGCATCATCATTCATTTTCCCTTGATTATTGGCTAAAAATGAAATAAATGATTATCAAAATTTACAACCTCTCATTATGGAAAAGTTAACTATTTAAGACATAATTAATTATAGTGTAAATTCTATTAGTTAATTGAAAGTAAAAAAAAAAGAAGCAATCACAATTATATTCTATTTTATACGATCAGATTGTAACATTAACTAATCATTTTGAAGTAAAATGAAACTTTCTTGTTTTTTTTTGTTTTTTCAAAAATTATTGCAAGACAGCATTCTGTGAGAGAAATTTTGTAAGGAAATGAAAGGTTACACGATGAATTGGTGATGAATCATCGAATTTTCGCTGTTCAATACCATTCATACTTTCTGGAAAATTTTAAGCAATTTCTACCAATGAAATTTACTTAAATACCTAAATTTGTTCATATTGAATTAAGTATTATTAAATCTCCGTCGTTTATGCCATTCATATCATTTGCAGAAATGTTTTATGCACTGATGAAATTTACCTAAACACTTAAATTTGTTCGTACTAAATTAAATGGTATTAAATTTTTGCCACTTATTTGACACATAATTCATTCAGAGATAATTTAACCAATTTCTCGAAATTTTACTTAAATACTTAAATCTGCCCCCGCCACTTCTACACTTCAGTCCCAATTCAAATTCTGATATTCTGATATAGTTTGGTAAAGGCATCCCACAATGAAAAAAATTTAATCTCAGAAAAAAAAACTACTGGTAGGATAGAATTGATAGAGAATAAGTTTAGAATAGGTAAAGTTGAAACTAATTTTATGTATTTCTCACAGCAAACAATTTGGAAATTCCGATTTATATCTAGTAATTTAAATCTTTTGGCGTTAAATTTCTAACACTTAAATTTAAATTGAAAAGCACAAATGTTTACTTTGATAAAGAGCATCTTGTTGTATTTCTTTCTTCATTCATTTAAATTTTATCATTTTCAGTATTCAATTTCCAATTCGTGCAGTATTTTTCGAAAAGAAAATAAAACTTTTACTTGAATTATGCCGTGAAAACGAAACCTCAAATAAATTCATTCACATTGTAAAATAATGCTAATGATACTATGAATCACTCTTAACATATTTACATTCCTTAAAATTGTTTCCCACACTTTTTTGTTGTTATCTTATCTAACCAATTTGCATTTTTATGTTTAAGCCCTTAATTTCCCATGTCAATCATTCTGTTTAATCTTGTTATAATGCTTGTACCATATCCGGTGTGTTTCCGATACTTGAATTCTTCATGTAAACCACTCCCATTTCTTAACATAAATAATCTGGGTCCAAATCCGGGGAGGCTTTTTGGCTTCCCCTCTTCTAAGGTTATCGTTTTCTTCTTCTGTTTATTCTTCGCTTCTACGGACATTGGCGGATTTTCATCAATCTCTTATCACGATAAAGGCTAATATTCCTTACTGTTGCGTATTCACAAGACAAATCGATCTCCGGACAAACACTTTCGCACCAAGCGCTTCATTTGGATAGATTTGATTGGAGTTTGATTGCCCAACCTCTGAGCT